TGTTGATGCTTAAAATAAAAGAAATCAATTTTTAAATATTAAATTCAAATCTTCTTACGAATCACATCAACATTTGTTTCTGTAATAACCTAAATGAAAAAAAAAACAATATAAACACATTTGTACAAAATATTTATCAATTTATAATCATAAACAAAGTGTAAAATCGACAAATAATAAGCAGACACACATGGACATACCAGCGGAGGTATCTCATCATCTGAAGGCCATGGTGAATCCTCTTCAACTAAGGTATTAACTGGTGGTATATAAGTTTCATATATTGGTTCAGAAAGTGTCTTGAATAAGTTTAATGAATTTTTGAACTAAACATGAGAAAAAAAAAACAAAAACATAGTACTTACATTTTTATTCGTTTGTGTTTGTTGTTCTTCAAATAAACAAATAATATCACCTAATTTTATTTCATCACCATCATGTAATGCATAACAAACATTTGGTTGAAGTTGAACCTAGAAAAAGCAAGTAAATGAAAATTTTGATCTAAAACAAATGTTTTCTTTTGTGCATTACTTTATTATGGAAAGTTTTATTGCTACTACCGAGATCGGTAATGAAATATTGCCCATTATTAAAAGTTATTTTTGCATGTTGTTTTGAAAGTGACTAAAATAAAGTAAAATAAAATTTTAGCATTAAGAAAAAAAAAAAAACACATATCTTACCGGAGCAGAAATAATTAAGTCCGATGGATTTGTTCGACCAATAATTGTTTCTTCTATTAAAAGAAAAATGATGCATCAATGTAGTGATAATGAATAAGACAGAAAAAAAAAACTACATACTTCCGATTTGATATGTATTGGAATCAGTACCACTTATAATTTTTAATGAAGCTTCCTTTATTAGACAAAAGAAAAAAAAAAAAAGAAGATTTTTGACGGATTTTTTCGAACTAATTATGAAACATACTGATTCAATGGTTGATGAATTTTGTATAAGACTATCATCAGCTGTTATTATTTGTGTATTATCAAGATCTGTCATATCGTTTTCGTTTTAAGAATTACTTAGAAAATATTCTTGATAGAATAAATGAATACAATATCCGTACTTTTCTCATCTTTGTTTAATGTAATTAGTGACATCTATTCTTTGTCTATTGTCAAATTTATGTTAAGTAATTGAGTTGATTTATCAAGAAAAATAAAAAACAATAAAAAATTAGAATAGATTTCTACAAAATTAAATTTTTTATATCAATTAAGATAATTATAACATACAACTGATAATTAGTGTCATCTATAGATATGATTCCATTATATGTTTTGAAAATAGTCTGCCTCGTATATCTTTTCTTTTTGTTGCGTTCAGGAAAAGAAAACGGCCTTGAACCCTTATTTAAGTAAAGAACATAAGTTGTGACGTCATGTGTTTTGTTTTTTTTTCTCTCTTTCAGCAGACGATTATTCGTTTCGCAATAAATTGAAGGCACAGAAACATTAAATATATAACGTTGTTGTTGAGCGAATATTGCATATATGATTACATCACGTGCATTTCGTTTTTTCGCTCCGTCTTTTTTTCTAATTGCGTAAATAGAAATTGTTTTTTAACAATAAAATATTCAAATATTGACTTTCTGATAAATAACTATACGTCTTTCTAGACAAGAAATATATTGTTTTACTAATATCTTCTGTATTTTCTCTGTATGGAAGTAATCACCTGACGTTTGCACTTCGGGGGTTAATCTATCTTTTTCTCTTATTTTCTATATTTTCTCGTATATACGCTGAAAAGAGAAAAGAGAAGCGTATATAAAGGCTGACTCGTAATGATGAAATTCATTATCAAAGCATCATACATACTTTGATTCTTCTTCTAGACAAGAAGAGCTAATTAAAAATAAAGTATAGACGTGGCGGTTCTTATTTATACTTCTAATACTTCGTTGACTTCCAAATATGTCAACAGCCGATCAAAATCCGGTAATTATTTGAAATATTCGTTTTTATTTTTCAATAATTATTAATATTTTTTGTCAAATAGATATCTCAATATTATCAAACAATAATTATTGGTTCTGGTGCAGCTGGTCTATCAGCTGCATATCAATTACACAAATCCGGTCTTAAATCTGTTTTAATTCTTGAAGGTTCAAAACGTATCGGTGGTCGCATCCTCACCGAATACTTAGATGCAGATTTATCAAAACCACTTGAAATGGGTGCATGTTGGATGCATGGTTTACAAGACAATCCAGTATATGAATTAGCACTACGTGAAAAATTTCCACAACATACAGGTACAATACTTAATTTTGATATTGGTACATGTGTTGATGAAAATGGTTTACAAATATCAAGTGAATTACATAATGAAGTTGATCAATTTTTTGAAAGTTTATTACAAGACACAAGAGATTTATTTGAATTTCAACAAAAAAATTATACACAAATATCATCAATAAGTATACAAAAAGTTTTTATGGAAAAATTTCAAAATTTTTTAAATTCAAATGGTGGAAATAATGAAACACGATCATTAAAACTTAAATTACTTCAACGAAGGTAAACGTTTAAAAAAAATATATAATGAAATGAATTGATGTTTTTTTGTTTTGTTGTTGTATAGATTTGATCAAGAAACAGGTGAATGTGGTTGTCAATCAATGGAACAAGTATCTTATTCAGAATTTGGTTCATATCAACGACCAAAAGGTCCCGATATGGAATTTCCATGTGGTTATTCAACATTAATTCGTTATTTATGTTCACAAATACCACAAAATTGGATTGTATTTGAACAATTTGTTGAAAATATTTTATGGGATACAGATGATCATGTTAAAATTACATGTGCAAATGGAAATATTTATGAATGTGATCATGTTATTTGTACGATTCCATTAGCTGTTATGAAATGGAGTTATAAATCATTATTTAGTCCAGCATTACCAGGTAAATATTAATTCAAAATTATTTTCTAAAACAAAAACGTAAATTTGAAATTTCTTTTTCTCTTATTAAGCATGGAAAGTTGAAGCTATACAAAAAATGGATATGGGTACAGTTGATAAAATCTATTTATTTTATGATCAATTAAATTTTTTCAATGGTGATTCATTAGCTATTGTTTATGATCGAGATCATGATACATTAGATATCAAAAAAGAATGGTATAAGAAAATTTTCTTATTTCAAAAAGTTTATGATAATGTTTTATTATGTTGGATAACGGGTGATGAAGCTATTTTTTGTGAACAATTAGATGAAAAACATATTGGTGATGTATTAACAAATCTTTTTCGAAAATCATTAAAAAATATTAATATACCAACACCAACAAAAGTTGTTCGGTAAGAAAAATGCTCCTCTCTCAAGTTTAATTAGTTTTATTTCATTTTCTTTCTCATAATTAAAAAACACAAAGAAGATCTCTTGCCTTTCAGTTACATCAGCATAGATTCAACCGTGCGACATCTTTCCTACAACTAATACCAACTATAGTTACGAACAGAATATCAGTCTGACTCAGAGTTCTTATACTTCTCATACATACTAGCTAACTGCATACCAGCCACAAGAGCAGGTGTATGCTACAATGTAGTCTTTTTGATCGCGGTCCCACGTATTTTTGCTCACAACAAATAGCCAATAGCGACTTGTCTAGAGTCATTATGGTTTCTCATAATTAATGAATTGATATTTACAAGTAGAATCATTTATTTGTATAATTATAGTAATAGATCTCGTACTAAAACACAATTCAGGTTTATTAATATAATAATCAAAACTTTAAATCAGTTGTTTCTTAATCATACGAAAAATTCGAATTCAATTTCATAGTAATTTATTTTTGATTTATTTTTGTTTCATATAGAACTCAATGGTTTTCAAATCCATGTGCGAAAGGTTCGTATTCATATGTACCTGTTGGTGCATCATCTTGTCAACATATTCGTGATTTGGCTGAACCATTAAAAGCTCATAAAAAAGTAAGATTTATTCCTAAGGATACCTTAAATTTGAAACAAAACGTAGTATTGATATATATTTTTTTGTACTTCAAGTCCTTTTAGTAGTCTGTCAGAAGGACAGAACCCGATTGATGGACAACACACGTTGACAAAGCATAGGTAGACGATTTCTTGGGATAATATATCCATACTAACCTAAGAGTTGTTGAACACGCTTGTTCATCGGTTTTGTTGTTGTTTATTTGTCTAGGCTCTGTTCGAATGATGACGATGTAGCAGATAAATAGGTTTGATTAAAATTTTTTCTATATATATATCTATATCTATTTTATTTCTGTCCTTTGATATTTTCTCTTTTGTTAAACAAACATATAATTTTTAGTCGCGAGTATTATTTGCGGGTGAACATACCCATACTCGCTATTATTCAACTGTAACTGGTGCATTTATAACTGGTCAAGCACAAGCATTACAAGTAGCACAACAATTAATTGCAAATAATGATACTGAAACGTTGGTTAAAGCTATAACAGATGATTTCAATAAAATTCAATGGAAACGTGAAGAACCACCCTGACAAACTCCCGTTTTAAGTCGTCGTCTGAAAATGGAGACGACGATATTCGACGGTGCTGGTCAAGCACCAACGGTACCAACGACGAAACAAGATGTTGTCTCAAAGCCAAACTGTGGTTTGACAACAAGAATCTTTTCGTCAATTACTGAATTGGTTAACCAGGCCGTTAATTATTTGAAAGACATTGACACATAACTTTTTTTTTTGTTTTTCATTTACTCATTTATTCTTACGTTTTAGGGGAATGGAAATAGTTTTCTCTTGTTTTTTTTTCAGTGTCGTACTAATATTATCTTTATTTAATCAAGCACATATTTTTCTTTTTGTTCTTCAATATTTACTCAATAAAAAATAATCATTTAATCCAGCAATTAGATCATTTCTTTTTTTCTTATCAGTATTTCTAGAAAATAGTATTACAAATTAAATAGAAAATAATTTATTACTAAATTAAAAAAATAACACAAAAACAAAAAAAAATTAAACAAAGTTCGGAGGGAGCATTGAAAAAGAATAATTTAAAGAAAATTCTGTGTTGTAAATTTCAATTGATTGAACCATTTCATGTGCTGCATTGATTTGAATTGAACCAAAAATATCTTCAGGATTTTTATTGTTAAAATAAATTTGATTGATAAATGCTAATTGAAGTTGACTTTCTAAAACGAAGAATAAAAAAAATTCTGCAATCGAAGAAAAATTAAAACCTACTTCTAGCCCAACGTGGAATTTTTTTCGATCGTCGACGAGATACGGCTGAATATGTAGTATCATCAAGTTGATCATCATGAAGTATAGTCATATCATAATTATTTGTTGAATCAGTTTTAATACTATATTCGGAATTTGGATTAACTTCTCGGACAAAATTAGATCTATAAAACAAATTAATTAAAAAAAAAATCTAGAGTTAAGATCAATAAACTTACCCTTTGATACGTTGAAATCGAGCATTTGATTGTAAATGATTTTTAACTGAACTATGCATAGGTGATTGAGATTGAATACGAGATGAAGATTTTTTAAAAAGTTGACGATGAAAAAGTGTCTTAGTTAAAGTATTTGAACGTTTTCGATTAATTACGATAGATGTATCAGAAGGTTGAATACACTATATATATATATCATCATGTACACATAGAAAAAATTTCATATAGAATTACCTTTACTGGATTACAAAAAGCCATTGCAGATACGAGAAATGAGCTGTCGACAAGAATGTTGACCGAGAAATGTTATCAAATACATTGAACATGTTTCCCTATATAGAGTAAATCTCATTTACTTAAAATGGCTCAAATTCAGTCTAATCAAAGAATTGTTCCAAAAGTAGGATTGATCAATTAGATGACAAGCTAATCTAACATAATCGCTTTCTTCTTAATTATATGTGTTGTCCTTCGATTAATTGGACGAAAGAAATATGTTCTTTTATTGAAAATGAAAGAAAAGAGAAACTAAAGAAAAAAAATATCGAATTAAAAACATTGAAAAAAAACAATCTTGAATAATCGATGTACTATAATAAAATAACCAAAAGTTTGGAAAAAACATGATGTTTTTAGAAAACAACGATTCTACGCACATGTAATTTTTTTCTATGTGGGCGTGGGAGATAAATGTGAAGTGGCTAAGCAAATATTGTTTTTGTATGCAGTTATAATTAGTCAGTTGTTTTTATTGACTGAAAGATAGTAGATTTGACAAAGCACATGCAGCAATCACATGCAAAACTTCAATGATAGGATCTAACGTAATTTTCGATCAGTTTCTATTTCAATTTTTTTTTTTGACTTTTCTAAGGTTAACCGAATAATCTGTAACATTGATGGAAAAAGATTTATTAAGAGAGTTCCTTTCTCGAAAATCTTATTTCGACAGGATGAATTTTCTATTCAGATTTTAAGGGAACAAGTTGTAAAACTCAGGTTACTGTCATTTTCGATACGGAAAAGGATTTTCATTTTTATTCAACTTAATTTTTGAAAATTTGCAAGTTCTAGGCAAAGCTTTCTAGAAAACTTAGAGTTTATCTAACATTAAGGATTTATTAGAAAATTGATTGTTCTGCGTATCTATTGATTAAAAGTGAACACAGTTCTCTAGAATGTAGCATATCAAGAAAGAAAATATGTCCATAGTTCGATCATTATCTAACAAAAATTAGTTTTGAAAAGAACACAGAAGAAGTTTTTTTTCATATAGTCTTCTGATAATGATTTCAAATGAAGATGAAGTGTAAATATATTACATATGAATTGAAACATTTATCTATATACATACGGAAGGGTAAGAAATTAGTTTTTTTTATTAATTACATTGTTGCCTAGGAGATATGAGTTTGAGTGAAGAGAAAATATACAATAGAAGCCTTAATTGATTTAAAATTTCCAAAGCATACCTCTAAAATAGGCAATAGTTGATTTCTTCAGAAAAATATTTGTTTGTTTTGCCTATCTAACTCTATCAAAAGAAAGTTTATTGAATGCTCTACACATCATTCTTTGTTCAAATAGTTTCCAAAATCATTCATAAACCTCCCAAAATACTTTTGAGAACCACAATTATTTTTAACAATTCGTACACTAGGCAATCCATGCAACTTGTTTACTTGTTTGTGTCAAAGTCATTTCTTTCTGATAAAAAGAAAATTTTCTGAACGTGGACCCTTCAGTAAAGAAAAAAAAATAAGATATTCAAATATATATTTAAATAAAATACTGCGTAACATTAGATGATGGACATGTGTAGGTATGAATGTGATTCTTGTTATAATCTCACACCCACACCCTCAGAAGGCAAAATGATCTATTCACGACAGATTGAAAATTACATACGAATTACTATGTAATCAAATGATATTCTAATTCAATAACAGAAATATATAAAGATACAATGGTGAGAACTCCGTTGTACATTTTCGATCGGTTAGGATGAATAAGACAACGCATTAAAGACGAATTAATTGTAATTAATTTTTTTATTGTACAAGGATTTAAAAACAATAAAACAATTGTAGAAGAAAAAAATTCTTTAAACTTTTTTGGCCGAAATAAAAATAAAAGCTGTAGTTATTGCAAAGTATCCGTTTGAAAAAGTGTTCATGAAAATATCATAAGTTCATGGTTAATATTAGATTATGCTCTTGGGAATGTGAATATGAATGTATGGATTTTATCTTCTCCTGTATTGCATTCATGCTCTTACTAGTTTGTCTTTTGTTGTGATAAGAAAAAACACATGATCAATTATAAAACTTGATTAACATGAACCAATCGATGTGTAGAAAACTTTTATCTTTAATCTGTTCTTTTGTTTTTTCAAATAAATAAATTTGCTTCAAATTAAATTGCTTATCTTTGTATATATTCAATAAAAAAAAATATATTGAAGTCCCTTTCGATAGTTTTACCCTTTGACTAAAGTTGAAAACTATTTTCAATCTACATTCTATGCTTTTGACATTGTTTCATTGACGCAAAATAATTTTAGTAGAACTATAATCTTGTCTGAATATGATCCCCCGATGTTTTCATTTCCATACAAACTAATATCATCAAAACATAATTAATCATAGAAAAGAGAAAAAAAACATGATCGCGATTTATATTTCAAACTGTCTTGATTTGAATATACGGTATTGAAGTTATACAAAAAAAAAAAAAGAAAAAGAAGTCAAAGTAGAACACGAATTAAAGGAAAATATCATACTTAGGTTGCGTACAACAAAAGAAAAACACCTAAATCTTTCTCAGATTTAGTTATATGTTTTTTTTTTCTAATAAAAATCTATATAATACATATATATGTATAGATTAATGTGAAGAAAATCAATTAATCTGACCGGTTCAATTGGTTGGTATTTATATATATATATATAATCAATAAATAAAAAAAAAAAAGAAAATGTTCGAACATTATATATGAAGACAAAAATGAAATGAAGAAAGTAGAAGAAGACTAGGTTCAATAGTTTGTTTTCGTATTTTTTTTTCTATTTTAATTATTCACGAAAGACAGTCGGGTGGACGTCGTTAAATTGCTTAATTATTTCCATATTTTAACAACAGCATCACATGAAACAGTTATTAAATAAGGTGTACGTTCTTTTGACATAACTAATTGCATTGATGTTACTGTATCAGTATGTGCTGGTGAAATATTTGCACTAGATTTTGTTGTTTTAATTTCTGTTGGTGTAGTTGTTGTCGAAGATGATAACGTTGATGATGCACCTGCTAATTGTGTTACTGTTGGTGGTGATGATGGATGTTTACGTCTATGATATTCTTCAATCGTTACTTCAACACCGTCAATTATTTTTGGTTGATAACGAGCTGTTAAAACATCATCATCAGCTGGTCCACGACATACAATATATGATCGTAATGGATGAGTTATATTCCAATTTCTTATACGCATATCTGTTCCAGCACAAATTAAGGATGTAGAACCATCATTTTTCCATAAATACATTGATGCAATATAATGATTAAGTGACTAAGAAAAAAGAAAAAACAATATTTTTTTGAAAATATGAATTTTTTTGATTTTAGTTTTGCAAACCTGTGTTAATGAAAGTGGTGTTACAGATGATGGCCAAAAAGCTTTTTGTCGTGTTTGAGGTTTATCAATATTCCATATAGCTACTTCATTATTACCTTGAAATGAGCTAATTAAACTACTCGGTTGATCTTGATGACGAAGTAAACTTATAACACGTGCACCTGAAAATGTTTAAAAACAAAATTCAAAAATTTTTTGTAAATTAATTTTTTTTAACCTGTTGGATGTCTTATTCCTTGAATACATAATTGAAAACGCATATCCCATATATCAATAAATCCACTACCAGTACCTACAGCTATCCATGATTGAAGTTCGTCTATTTCAAGTGCAGTTATTAAACCTAGGAAAAAAAAATAAAGAAAATGCAAAATTAGATATTTCTTTTTACGATGATTTAAATCATTTTTTAATCGAAAAACAGGTGTTGAACATCTTGTATCAATTCCAACAATTAAACCTTGTGATGTAGCTAATGCTAAAATATCTTGTGAACCAGTATTAAAATATTTTAAATCAACTGGTACACCAACATCATTCACATCTAATTTTAAATTATAAAATGATTCACGAATATCAGTTATTGAAGAATTGAGACTAAACAAAAATAATAAGAAGAAGAAGATGAGTTTTATTTGTTATTTATATAAAGAATTTATTTTTTCTTACTCATATATATTCAATTGTCCATTTTCATTTAAAGAAGCTAAATTTAAATTATTATCCGATGTAAATGCTAAACCTCGAACAGATGATGCTAAAAAGAATAGAATTCATTAACAACATTATATAAATCTAAATTAGTAGATCTATTCAATAGACAAGTCATGAAATCATTCTACAGCATATAAAACTACATCATAGTTAAGCTCTCTTCTGTCAGAAATCTATTTTTGCTTCAGAATAATTGATCTCTCTGAAATTTTCAGGAAGTATCTGGAAAATTTGCAGTAAAAGTTTCAGTCCAAAAACATCGAATTATTTATGAGTTATTCTAAAAACGAAGAATACAAGAGTAAATCTTCGCGTGTTAGGCAGCTTCAAGTTCACAGTTTTGTGGACTCATACCTGAAAAAAGCTAAACTTCTGCTCCGAGACTCAGATTCGGCTGAATGGAAAAGTCTTAACCATTATTAATGAGTTCAATTTTATTAGTGAACTATAGAAATCAATAATTGATGTAAACGACCAACCAGTTTGAAAAAATTAAAGAAATAGTTGCTATGGTATTTATTTTATTGCCATATTCAATTAAAACTGATGAAATAGAAAAAGAAATAATTGGATAATCATGACAATTTATGTCCTCCTCAGATGTCATAAGAGGTAGGTGTAGTCTTTATAACTTGACAAAGTGTAACAAATAGTAACCCGGTGTTTTCAGCAATTAAAAGAGAACTTCGGATATTTTTGTGTTTGACAAAATAATTGAAAAAAATCCATCATCTTCACAAAATATTTAAAAAATGCACACAAAAAAGTATTTTGTTTTGATATAATTTTAAATTTGTAATGAGCTCTCAGATCTATAGTTCAGAACAACGATTCAAGAGATTATCATCTCAAATCTCAATCTAGAGCAAACCAAAATTACTTATCTATTCGATCAAATTATATAGTG